TTCCAGAATGGCCACTGATAAGGAGAGAATAATTTCATTCTATCCAGAAAGTGATAAATATGACATCACTATATTTTAAAATCCTGCAAAACAAACAATACCATATGGTTTGTTTTCTTCCAACAGCAAACTAACAATCTGTAGTATTCTAACAAACTGCTATTAGGTCTAGGAATATTTTTGGCCAAATTTTTCTTTATCCCTTGTTAAAACTGGTTTGTTAATGGATTTCTTTAGTTTTAGAATTATAATTAGAAGGCAGTTATTGCTTTGCATAATCAAATTGTAATTGCTGTTTGGGTAAAATCCAATGAATTTAAGCATTAGTACCTCCAAAAAAACAATATCTGGCAAAAATGGAGTAACAAATGTCATGCGTTAATGATCCAGCATATCTAATGTTTGCCTAACTGTTGAAATTTTTTAGAAGCTAGAGAGCTAGTGATATTAGAGGATATTAAAAGTATCAGTCTATTTTAAAGCATCATAGTTGAAAATGACAACAAATTAATATTCTCTTATTAGATACTAATGGAGGTGATGAGGAATGAGAATTCATTTAGGGTCACAATCTTACTTAGGTGTGCAGTGTGTGCTCCTGGGTGAGTCACTTAACATCCCTGAGTCTGTCTGTCTCTGTTATAAAATGGAAATTGTGATATTTAAATAGTTATTTGTCAATTTTTTCCATGCCTAATGGCTGAACTTGTTTCCTGGGTTTGGAGAATTTCCTACACACGTTTCTCATTTTAGAAGCCAGAAAACCCAAGAGCAGGTGCCCACCCTCTTGTCTCTGTCCTGACCTGGTTCTCCAGCCTTCCAAGCAACACTGGGATCTCACAATCTTTGAAAACAAAACAAACAAAAAATCCTATCCTTTGTGAAATCAGCTAGGGTCATTTTCTATTTCTCACAACCAACAAACCTCACTAGTACTTCCAAAATATATCTCAGATCTGTCCACTTCTCTCCATCTCAACTATCCCCACTCTAGTCCAAACTCCCATGATAGCCTTTTTGCACTAATGCAGTGGCCTCCTGGGGGAGCTTTCTATTTCCATTCTTGTCCCCTCCAACCCACTCTTTCCATGACAGCAGGAGTGACCTTCTATCAATATGAAGGAATCACATCATTCTCCTCCACAAAATCCTTCCTGTAGACTTAATAATATAATTTAAAAATTTTAAACACAATCCACAAAACTCAACATGATCTGTCTCTTGCCTAATTTTCTAACCTCAAGTGTCCATCACCTGATGGATGGATAAATACAGTGTGCTATATCCATGGAATATTACTTGGCAATAAAAGATGAAGTATCCCATGCTATAATGTGGATGAACCTTTAATGTGCTGTTTTTAAATTCCTGCTTTTATATTCTTAAAGCCTATTTTTTTCTCAACTCTCCATAAGGATCAATGAAGCTTATATTTTTCCCTAGAGAGACTTACAATATACTACCTGTTTATAATTAGTTAATTCCTTATTCTCAATTCATATTCTTCCTGAATTAATAAGTGATAAAAACTTAGAGAGAGGTCAGTCCTTTAGAGACTTAAGAGACTGCTGTCCCTACTGTTAGTATCGATATGTTTAGTACATGTTGCCCTCAATTTAAATTACTGCTCCCAAATATTCCTGAAAGGTGGGAAAAATTTTCTCTCTTTTAATGATTGATCTTCATTTCCAAAGAGAAACACTGCTTGGACATGTCTATGTCCATATGCCCTTTATGTTTTATCCTCTGATGTGTGTGGGATAATTTGAGAAATATTTTGAGTACCTCAACTCTACAGTGTATTTGTCCCACCCAACTGCCCACCCTCCCACCCCCCAAAAAAGGAAAGCACTGTCTCTTACTGAAATGAACTGGCAACACACATCAACTCCAAGGGTAAGTGAATTCTCAGACCTTACGATTTGTCCCCTACCAAGCCTAGGCAACTCACAAGGGAGAGACAATTTGTATTCTTTCATGACTTAAAGAATGTGTTCAATTACAACTAAAAAATAAATGTTTTTTAAAAAGGAATTGATCATGGAATCCTTGGGTCAATAATCACTTACTATGCTTCACAGGAAGTTTGGGGTCCATTAAAAAGTAAAGATTCCAGATGGTCTATACTTATAGACCCTGAGCTTCCAAAGAGCTGGCTTCTGCCTCCAGTGCATATTGCCTAGGGCACTTTCAAGAACAATATCTGGGGGCAAGGAAAGTCTTGAACAACAAGGAGCTGACTGACTAAGGGTCCAGCTACTGGGCTGCATCTGTGCCCAGGTCAAAATGCTATAGGTTGCTCCCAACCAATAACAGATCACAGCAAGGACACTAATGCAGGTCTCCCTGTGAGGCTGCCTAGAACACCTCCATCCATCCTGTTCTCCCTTCTCTGGATTCAGACTTACATTCAGGTCTGACTTCTGATCTCCCTCCAATCCTCTTCCCCCAACTCCACCCCCTTTTTTCTTCACTCTTTTCTCTTTTCTCCATTCCTGTTTCTCCCAGTAAAAGATGTGCTTGTATGTTTAATCCTGTCTTGGCATTTGCTTCTCCGATGACCCCACCTAACATCTGGATTCATAACTTATTTACTTACATTTATACTTTTTGAAACTAGCAACTTTTAAACAGGGCCTCAGCAAATGGGTAACCAAACATGGATTTTATAAAACAGACTTCAGATGCAGAGTTCTTCCTTCTCCACCCCATTCCTATTTGATGAAGACACTAATAAATTAGGCTTCTAAACAGATGTATCAAATTAAGTGTCTTTCTTAATATTAAGCATGCTCCTTTAATTACTAATTTGTTTAGTTCTAATGAGGAGTGAGCAAATTAGGAATGTTACTTGAAACTAGCTATTATGTATCTGTCCCTCTGATTTGACTACAAGCTCTTAGAGGGTGGGCACCCTCTCCTATTTGCTTTTTTATTTATTTTATTTTTTATTTTTACCAAGTACCAGGTTCACTCATAAGGTGCTTAATAAACGTCTGCTGAGCAGAAGCAGGAGAGATCAGTGATGTTCCACCCAGCGGTGTGTAAGAGGAGGACAGGGAGGGGCTCTCAGGCCTCTCTGGGAATGCGGAAAAGCAAATAAAATATCCTTGTTGTTTTCATTGTACAAACTATAGAAAATAAACTTTAAGCTTCGTTTTACAAACCATAGAAAGTAAAGTTCAGCTCTCAGGTACAGTGGGGATGAGAAAAATGTAAAATGAGAACCATTACAGGGAACTGATGTTTAAACTGGATTTCGTATCAATGATATTTGGTCTAAAATGGTTATCCTGCCTCTGAGAATGGACCCAAACATAATGTCTGACTTTAGCAGAGTAAGTTGCAATAATCACATAGATTATTATAGACATATAGATTGCATGCATATGTACCTACTTATTATATATTTTATAAGACAAAGATATGTAGATTTCTTATTACCAATAAATTTTACTATACTTTAGATTTATTCAAGCCCCATTATTTATGCATAAACAGATATAATTATATTGCACCTTAATAAACAAAAAATACTGTTTCTTTCTGCCAATGAAAGAGTCTTTTTAAAACAAAATATTGATCATTTGTTTAGATAGTAGTAAGTTGCCATTTATTAAATAACATAATAAACAAGTAGAAAAGAGTTTGAAGAGTTACCTCACTGTATTATATTAAATTTTTGACTTGCTCATGACCAATTTATTTTACCGACTGCTGGAATATTTGTGATCATTAAATTTTTACTATAGCCATGAAAACAAGTTTGTCAGTGGAGACCTCAAACAACGAATCTCTTGATTAGCATTTCCCGTAATAGCTTTATACATCTAAATTATAGCTTGCTATTGGGGAATTTTTCTGTACATGAATGGATTAAAAACTTAATTAATCTCGCCCCAGTGTTTAAGAACCACACAATAATATTGGCTTACTTTTGTACTTTTATATGCACTCAGTGAACATGAGAAGGTAGAAAGTATTACACACACCACACTCAGAAAAGGCAGAACACACTTCCTTCCTCCTCTTTTTATTACCTTCCCCAGAAGTTACACTAAGTGGGTGAAATTGAGTCAAGATATACCTAGAACAATCCATGGCAATTTAAAATTATTAATTCTAGGCCTTTTAACATACACGATAGTCTAGCGAAAATTTTACATAAAATAAATTCTATAGAATTGCATATTATCACTAAACTATCTGACACTGGGAAGTCTAATCTTTGCCCTACAGCTTAGATAGAAAACAAAACCATAGCTCTTCACATTTCAAATTGTCAACATGTCATTTTTCCTATGAGTCAACAAATTAGTAGATAAAAACTGAGGCACCTACCAGGCTCCGGGTAAGAGAAAGCATTTCACAACGAAGCCACAGTAAGAGGAATTAATCCTAAATGATTTAACTTTATGTGGAAAAAAAAAATAGAAAAGCAAATAATTCCACCTAGTTAAACAGATGTAATGAATATATGAAAATTATCAATTAAAGGTTAATAAAAGCAAAGAGGCCTATAATTTTTGAAGTCTGACAAATTTGGTAGCAGTTTAGAATAATAGGTAATTTCTTAGAGAAGATACATTTGGTTGAACATAAATAGAAATAAATATTCTAATTACAAAAAGTGAACAGGTAGAAAAAGGGTCATTTATTCCTTTCTCAAAGATACTGTTTTCCTTGCTTTTAGGTCCTACTATTCCTACATTGCATGTTTCATCATTACATATATATTTTCATATTTATTCTTTTGCTCATTATTCTATCAGAATCTAATATAACATTCTTTTCTAACGCGATAGTAGTTTCAACTACAGCAGCCTCAAAGTCCATTATGAAGAGTAAGGGCCACCTGATCCACTTCAGAGAAACAACAGAAAAAAATTCCAGACAGAAAACCCGTGGTAAGTCTGTCCTGGAGAGAGGTTGGACAGAGACTGGGCATGCTCTCTACCAGCCTCCTGGGGCAGACACGCACAAGATGCAAAAATTCTTACCTTGCTGGAGGGACATCGATATTAGAAGAAACGACTTTCCGTTTCTGCTCAAGGAGACAGATGGAACGAGTGTTTTCTTTTTCATGGTCAAGGACCCGACCGGCTTTTTTGGTGTCTGCTGTTTTCACATCTTCCTCCATGGCCAAGGGGAACAAGTGATGAGACATTTTCTTACTAGAGTCACGTTTCAAGTCCTCTGATTGAAATGTGAAGGCCATTTCCCGCTTAATGCTCCCCACCTGTGAAATGAAACAAGAAACTCTAACACAAATCATAACCAACATTGCAAAGTCATAGACAACTGGTGCATCTCTCATAACTCAAACAAAAACATCACAATCACAAGAAATGCCTCTCTTTGAAGACTTGAAAGCATAAGACCTCTAATTTTTAAAAATTTGAACATTATACTCTCTTTTAAAACTGAAAAAGCATAAGTAAATTCTTAAATATTTCAGTTTCATGATCATGTTTAGTAAAGCCACACTTTGACTACTAACAGTGACCTTAACCACACTGCCATTCAGGGAGAATTGTTTTTTATCCTTTATCCACCATCATTAAGATCTTTTAAAAATGTCTCCTAAAGCCTTATGATAAAGAAGCCAGACTAAATTTTCTTATTATTTTAAACTAAATGCAATGATTAAAGTACTTAAGACAAATGAAAAATTAAAACTCAGTAAGTTGAATCTCGTTTTTTCTGAATTTGTGATCACTGAAAAAGAAGATAAAAGTTGAAGGTCTTTTTAAGGTAACTGCTATTGAATGAAGTGTGGAGCAAAATTTTTCGACTCTTAAGTGAAAAAAAAAGAGTCAGAGGATCTGATAGTCCGAAGCCTCACCAATCAGTGAAGTGTATTTCAGAATACGCATACCTATAAGACATTTCCCACGCCCTTCTAAGTCAGTCCATCCCCTTTTTTGAAGTTCATCTCTAGAGTGCATTTGTGGAGTCATCCACCCAATTATATAGAAGATACACTTTTTTGTTCCTTTTAAATTTTAGGTAGGAGAAAAAGGGAAAAGACTTTGTTCAACTAGATTGAGGTTCACAGAATCCAAAGCTATAAACTTAAGGCATTTTCGGAATAGAATGAGAATGTGATTTTACTCATAGCAGAGTCTAGTATTAATGATAGAAATTCTCAGACTAGTGTTGAAGTCACAGGACCTGCCCATATAGGAGAATTTCCATAGCTTAGGGATCACTCAAAATCCACTCAGCTGGCACATGTCTTTCACAGGAACACACAGAGGTCTGAAGGGCATCACATCCTCTCTTCTCAGACTGTCAGGCAAAGGGGAAGTCCACCTTCCCATGGTTTTTCCAGCAGCCATATCTGCAGCCCCACAGGAAAATGTTAGCCACTTTGGGTCCACTTGCAACTCATTAAAAAGTCACCATATTTCTTAGAATGCTTTAATGAAATAAGCGGCCAAGGAAAACAAATGTCTGCTCTTAAGTGCTGTTTTAATGATATCAATATACATAGAATGGAATAAGAAAAATGTTCACACTTCTAAAAAGGCAATGAAAATTCTATAAAAACGTAGTTTAGAAAATTGGTGAATATAATTAAATATTTAAAATATCCATCATTAACCAATACTCTATTCAACTCTTTCTGTCTGTAAGTGGAGGTGATAGAGAGGTGCTTTCCACTTCTTGACCAATCCTGTTCTAGCCCACGCTGCAACTGGAATCCTCTAAACACAAGGCAAAAAAAGACAACAATGAAGCCCTCAATTTTGATGATTATCAATTGGTTACCCCAAGTGTCAGGTATTACATTAATTAAATATGTAAGTAGTCAGCAGTATTAAGCTAAGATAATAATTGAGATCCACTCTTCCCCTAGGGCCAAGTGGACTTGATTAAATGGATTTCGTCCAACATTTAAAGGAGGGGCACCACATTAGAGGAAGTCTAGTTTTTAGCTTTGCAATTTTAGAGAGAAAAACCTTAAGTAATAAATACAAATTGAATACATTTCCTACAGAAATGTTGTTATAATTGTATGCCATGCTCTTAACTAAGGTTTCATAATAAATTATAGTAGTATTCAATAATGCAAGATATAAATCTTCTGAAATACTTTCTAAAAAAAAAAACTAATTGCTCAACAGTAACCAGGGGATTTTAGCAATGGAATGGATTGCAAAGGCAACTGAACCCCGACTTCTGGTTTAAATGTGGAATTACGGTGACTAGAAATGATCGAAGACGACCAAAAATAACTGTAGAGATAAGTAGATATTAAATCCATTGTTTTGTGTATTATGCTGTGAGCAGTGTTGGTGGAAGTGCTGGATGGCAGGTGTAAAGAGTCATAATCTCTCCGTGCTTTAAATCTTACCTTTATGTATTGTATGTCCCTTTTAATGTCCTTTTATTCATACCAAATATCATATTGAAAAGTTAAAAAATAAAACAGGAGAGAAGAAAGTGGAAAGAATACATGATGTCAAATCTTGGATAGATCTTGGATAGCTGGGTTCAGAAATGGCCCAGAGAAACAGGGTGGTGTCTGAAGGGGTGCTGGACAAGGGAGTGTGAGGTGAAGAACACAGCTGAAGGCTGAGAAAGGCTGGCAGGAGCAGAAGGGGGACAGGCCCACATGAATACTGATTGGACCTTTTATTAGATCAGTAGAAGAAAGAAGCATAAAGAAGATACAAACCCATTTGTCTGGGATTTCCAGAAAAGGGAACTCTACAGTTATAGGGAACAAATCAATGATTGCCCATGGCTGGGGGCAGGAGCAGAAACTAATGCAACTGGGCATGAGGGAACTTTCTGAGGCAATGGGAATGTTCTAGAACTAGACTGCAGTGATGTCTATATAAGCTGTAAGTTTATTAAAATTCAGTGAACTGTATTCTTAACATTGGAATGTATGTTAAAAAAATGGAATGTAAATTATGCCTCAGTAGGGCTATTTACTTTCTCTTCTCATTCTTCGACCACATTGTGAATGACAAACTTTGTATCTATAAGAAATACTACTTTATATTTAATTGTTTTTGTGAACTCATAAACAACTAAGCAGGAGCAATCAAAGAGATTGTGCAGTCTCACTGTGCAGTCTCACTGAAACATTTTACTCTTCAATGTCTTGTAGAACTTAAATATATTTTTCACTGTAATAAAGGCTTACTACAAAATATACACCTGATAAAATTCAATGAAAAGCAGTGTATAAGGGAGAGCTTGCTATTCTTCCCCACTGTCCTCTCTCTAGGAGTAGTCAGGTCCAATCCTAGAGAGAACGGATTTTTACAGTTTATTATAAAACCTCAAATTACCTACAATGCATTAAATAACTCTGTGTGCATACAAACTACTTGGAGTGTTTAGACATAGATGCAATTATACTATATACATTATTCGCAAACCTTTTTATTACTTGACAATATATCATGAACATTGTTTCATATGAGTAGCACATCTAGTATACTTTAAACACTATAACAGTTCATGAAATGGTATATTTTCACCAACTCCTTATTGATAGACACTGAAATATTTTCAATTTGTCATTAAAAATGAGTATTAAACATATCTTTATGTGCTTGTGCAAGAATTTTGCAGGAAAAATTCCTGAAGTGTGAAATTGCTGAATTAAACCACCTAAGTTTTCTTTAATAAATGTACAAAGTATTGGGATACCTACAAAATGGACATACCATGAAGTCACTAAGTAGATGGACATCCAAATATACCCATAGTCTATTAAGGGTAACATGACCTATTTAGAGGCATGCAAGTTGTAGATCATGTTAAGGATGATTTCACTGGATTTAAAAAACAGAATTAAATGCCAAGATGCTACACACTTTAGGGAACAGAATACTGAATGGGCTGAATGGGTGCTTTCACTTTGTTTCATATATAGCTAGATAGACACACAGAAAGAGTAATCAATTTTAAGTAAGAAGATTAGAGGAGGGCTTTATTTAAAAATAAAATCGAGAATTTAAAATAATGAGACAGAGTTCAAGATTTAAAGAAATTATGAAGAAAAATGCTCTACCCTTTTTTTGACATATAAGGTAATTGGCATTCTCAAATATTACTGGTGGGAATGCACATATTTTAGAAGGCTAACTTGGAAAAAAATAGCAAAATCTAGCTCTGTATCGCCTTACTATATTTGTTCTACCTTTATGGGAAAAATAAAGATTACACAAAGATATTTATCAGAGAAATGTTAAAGTATTAAAAAACAGAAACTAAGTATTCATCAATAATTTGGGGGCTAAATATACATAAATATGTGCTAAAAAACAAAGACATATCTCTACATTAACTGACACAAGGAAGAAATTTAACATGTATATTATAAAAAGGAGATTACAAATGAGAATATGTAATGTGCTCTTAGAAGAAATGCATATATGTAAAGAAATATTTCTAAAAGGATATTCTAAAATGTTAACTTTTTTCTTTGGGGACAGACATATAACCAAATTTCACCATCTTGTAAGTTTTTTCAATACTCATATATAGTTTGGTATTTTAAAACTACAATGTTATTATTAGAAATTACTTTTTTATATAATTAACTTTTTTCAAATCTAACATTTATATAATATTTTTGTTCTATTAGCTTCAGTTGTTAGATACATATAATTTTGTTTTGTTTTGTTTGGTTTGGTACCAAGGATTGAACTCGGAGGCACTCAACTGAGCCACATCCCCAACCCTATATTGTATTTTATTTAGAGATAGAGTCTCACTGAGTTGTTTAGTACCTCACTGTTGCTGAGGCTGGCTTTGAACTTGCAATCCTCCTGCCTCAGCCCAGCCATATATGTGTATTTTTTAAAGGAAAAAAACATAGTGGTGCATGCCTGTAATCCCAGGGGCTGGGTGGGAGGCTGAGATAGGAGAATCGTGAGTTCAAAGCCAACCCTCAGCAACGGTGAGGCGTTAAGCAACTCAGTGAAATCCTGTCTTTAAATTAAAAAAAAAAAAAGAATTGCCTAAAATAATGTACCCACAGGCACTCTTACATTATCAGCACCTTTCAGCTTTATTATGCTGCAATAACACCACTGGATTCTTTCTTCCTGCCCAGCACACAAGCCCTTCCTATAGCACATCAACACACATATTACCCAGTGTAATTTCTTGTAAAGAAACAAAAGCTTCAATGTTCAATTATATGAGAATACCCCCAATTACCAATTACCAACCGACAAATAAAACTCAGAATTTTTATTTCAATGAACC